TTCATGTTCTCAATTTTAAGCATCCACTCACAGATAACTAACACCTCTTTTTCTAGCTTACTCTACTAGCACCCCCACTCCAACAAATATTTGACCCTGTGATGACCAATCTGTCATCCTTACTACATTTATTTATCCCGCTTTATTGTCCTTCTTTCCAAACCTAGTTACTTTGGATCAAAATAAGCACATATTTAAATAACATTCAAGACTGTGTTTTTATGACTTGAAAAGCCCTATCCCTAACTAAACCAGCAGTTTTCTTCATTGAACTTTTCCTAGCAGCTGAATGTGGCTAAAATAAAGCACAAGTATGCTAAGTATTCTCACAGGGTGGATCCTGGTTTGGTGGGCCCTAGAAGTTACAGTATATGGGGGCAGTAGATAAAAGAAAACAGTGTTATGAATACAAAATGCCCAGTCACTTGAATACCACTTGACATAGGAGACCTTATATTAGAAAGAGAGAATGATCTTCGTCAACTTTGATTAAAACACCTTGTTTCTACAAACTTTATAAAACCATATCACCATGTGAAAACACTGCTAGGGAGACACTCAAAGGACTTTGTAAGGGGCTGGAGCCAATTAGAGGCCCTCATGTTTAAGCTTCATTAGCAGCACAATAAATTTACTTCTGAATAGAACTTAAATTCTGTGACCATAAATCTCAAGTGATGTTCAGCACGACCAAGAAATTTCTAAACAATTCCACTTTTCTCATGACCATTTTATATCTTCTCCCTCTCTTCAATCCTAATACCCATATTACCCTCATTTTAAACTAATCATCCTCTTCATAGGGAGTATAGATATAATGAATGAGAATTATCTCAATCTCTTACCAGCTTACTGGTGCACAATACGAGTATCTCCTTTTTCCCATGAGTCATTATTCATCGTTAGCAGCACATGAGCTTTGCATAATATTGTTCATTATATAAAGTATGAAAACACAAAATAAACTGTATTTATTTAGTCCTGTAACTCATCTCTTTCTATATTTTTGTAGCAAAACTTTAAAAAATAAACACATCTATTTCTGTGAACTCACAGTTAATTCTCTATTGAATCCACTCCACCAGGCTTTTCTCAGGGTCATATTCTGAATCCAATGTCAATTTTTCTCCTTAATTTGAAGGTTTTTTTTTGTTTGTTTGTTTTCTTATTTAGTTTTGCTTGGTAGGACATCTGATGACATTTTGAATATAATTTCTTTGTAAATAATTTGTCTTTTCTCTCTGGGAACTTCAGAATTGTCTCTTCTTATTTAAGAGTTCTGAAATTTCACAATTTTGTTTGTAGCTATGTGTGTGTGTAATTTTTTCAGCTTAGCACTAAGTAAGACTTTTCAATTTGATGATCCTTGGTGGGTTTTGGTACTGAAATTTTTCAGGTATAGTTTTGCTATATACACCTGCTACCTATCTATCCTATTTCCTGTCCTGTGATGTACTGATAGGAGTCTGATAGTTGATTTGTGAATTGCTTCTTATAATTCTGCATTTTTATTACATATTTTGAGAATATATAGTGAGAGGCATTGAAGTAAATAAATATTTCATTTCTTGTTGAATTGTTTTCTTTTATTATCTACTTTTACCTTGTTTCTTATTCATGATTTTCTTATTAAATTACATTTTATGATATTACTGTTGCTGCACTAATGTTTATTTTCAGATTTTTGAGTGGTTTAGTCCCCAGTCTTTATTTTTTAGGCAGCAGTGAATCTTATTTTTTAAACATAATCTGATGATATTAGTAGGTGTACTTTAGACATGTGTATTATGATAAGCCTAATTAGTGACGCTAGTTTTAAAACATGTTTAGCTAATTATAGACATTTTAAATAAATCTGGAATTATTTAGTTTTTCTATTCTCCTCCTGAGCATTACACATATTTTTGCAAAAAATAAATTACTATTGAACATCTTTACACTTGTCCTATTTTTAAAATCGTTATCTGGTGCCTTTGTTTCACTTTTAAATAATAATTTTTCACAATCAATACATATATTTGCTGACATTTCTCATTCATTTTTGTCTTTATATCTTCTTGTTTATTCTTTTTGTTCACTTTCCAGTGGCTAAAATGATTCTTTAATAGTTATTTGAATAAAGGCTTTCTGGTAAATTTTCTTAAGCTATGCCAATTTAGCTCATCAATCTTGAATAATAATTTGGCAATGTATGGAACTATAGCTTCACAATTATTTTTGCTTATATTTGAAGATAATAATTTTCTTTTGGCATTTATTACATCACTTTGTATGTCCTTAATAAGTATCTTTAATATTCTACTGTTTTATCACAATATCTTTAGCTAGAGATTTTTTATTTTTATAATGTTTTGTAGTCACAACTAATTTTGTCATCTGGTCTGTGGTCCTATTTTTTTCTCAAGTCTAGAAATTAACTTGAGAGATTTTTAAACTAATCTTCTTCATAGGGAGTATAGAAAATTTCTGTAGTCTTTACACAACATATCTTATTATCGTTCCTTTTGTAAATCAAGGGGAATGTCGCTTAACACATGTTCAAACACACCACACATTCATCCCGCTCCACTTAATGCATGGACTGTTTTTTCCACAAAACAAATACATGTATAAACATGCACACATAAATACACATACATACACAAAGATTAACACACATATACACATATGTACAAGTAAACACAAAAAGTATATATACACAAACACAAATATGCATGTGTACACAAACGTAAGTACACATAGACTCAAAAGTATACACATACTATGTACAGACACAAACATGCCACACCTATATATTGTGTGTGGTTGCACGCACACATACACACCCCCTCCACATTTTTTGTGCTGCTTTTTGAGTGAATACCTTAGTACTTCATTCCTACCTATTAATCCAAAACTCTCTTTGAGTCTTCTCAGTTTGGAGCTTTTTGGTTCTATTTCAAAACTATTTTAATTATTTCTGTCCATATTTCTTTTCATTATTCCTTATAATTTATTGTCTTCCCCATCTATCTATTTTTGTCTAATTTCTGCTGTGTGTCAAAATTTCTTTTCCTTTTACAAAATTAGTGATTCCTTTACTTAGATATTTGAGCATTTTAAATATACTTATTTTAAGTTCTTTGTCAGAATGTTTCATAAAATCAGTATCACCTAAAGTGGTTTGGGTTCACACTCTGATTGCTAGGTCTTTGGAAACAAGATATTTCTTAATATGTTTTGATGTCTTTTTTGAGGCGTCCCATTCTAAATAAGCAGGTCTCTTTTCTCTATCTTTGTCTGTCTGTCTCTCTCTCTCTCTCTCACACACACACACACACACACACAAACACGTAACACACTCACATACATACATATACAACCCTGTCTTTCTGTCATACACACACATCTTCTTGTTTATCTCTTTCCAATGGAAATTATGTCATTGCTTCTACCTCACCCTACTTGGTCCCAATTCACCAATCTTTAAATTCTTCCATTTATGGTCATCTTTTCTGATTCCCAGTGATCATACAAAGATGATATTGGGGATAACATTATTGCAGTTACTGATTCAATAGGCAACTTGGTTGAGTTATTGGTCTCAGGATCCGTTCTCCTCAATGCCTTGGCTCCTTGCTCACTATGTATCTTTAGCCCCAGTCAGTGAATGATCCTTCCACATCAAGCACAGCTCATGCAAAGCCCTGCCATGAGTCAGTGAACCTCACACTTGTCACTCAACTGGTGCAACACCTGCAGCTTGTTTTATGCTGCTTCTCCTCTATTCATGCTTTGATTTTTGACCCCATTTCTATTCTACAGAGATGGTTACCTTCTTTGTGAGCCTAGCTATGTCTCCTGCTTGCCTGAATGTATGTTTATTCTTATTTCTACATCATTCTTTCATCCTATTTTGGAATAGGTGAAAATGAAGGATCAATGCAGCTCATCATCAGCTGATTTGGTCACACTAATTCAATCTTCTCTGTGTTCTGTGAAGTGAAAGCTAATCATGTGTATTCACCCCAACCTCTTGAATAGTGCTACTTGAATGAAGTGTGGTCTGCAACCAAGTGTCATCAACCTGGGAGCTATTCTCAGACCCATCGAACATCTACTTAACCACATTCTGAGAGTGAAGCCTAGGAATCTGTGACTTTCAAGGCTCTCCCTGTGATTTTTACATATATACAAGCTTTAGATACTGCTCCAGATAATATCTGTAGTTTGCTTTCTGGTTGCATGTTAGAATCATGTGGGGTGCTTAAAAATAGTGACCCTGGAGCTTTACCCCAGATTGATTGTATATTATTATAAGCCTAGTAATCCATCCAGAATTTTTGGAAGCACAAAGTTTTATTAAATGCTTTGCAGGTTATTATAATGTGGAGTTAGTGTTGAGAACCATTGCTTTATTCAAGTAGTTCTCAACAGGGATGATTTTGTACCTTCAGGGGATTTTTGGCAGTGACTGGAGACATTTTTGGCTGCTGCAACTGAGACAGTGCTGCTGGCATCTAGTGGGAGATGCTGCAGAATATCTTACAACACACAGGACATCCCCCCTACGAAAAGAATTGTGCCACCACAAATGTCAATAATATTGAAGTTGAGAAAGTTTGCTGTCTTATATGCTTTGGTTTTTGTTTAGGCTTTTCCATTGAACATATTCTCCAGTAAAAACACCTTTATGGAATTCACAAATTGAAATGGAAAGGAGTATAAAAGGGATTTTGAATATTCAGAAAACCAAGCACCTGGATTCCCTAAGCCGTTCTTATTGATGCTCTTATGCTTCTGAAATTGGAAAAGCCTGACAATTAGGGGTAACCATCAGAAGCAGCAGAATAAATGGAGTCCTAGGACACATGTTCCGTCTTCAAGTTTCAGCTAATTATCCCGCAATTTTGTATTTTTGACAACATAAAATATGATCTTCTGCCTTTTTGCTGTTATTAAATATGGTTGTCTCACTATATACTCAATAATCATATTAATATTTTGCTTTACTTTTACAGTATAAGGAAAAAATCACAATATGAATCTGAAATAAAATCTTTGACCATGATGAAGTTAAAGAATGAGAAACATCTCAAGAGCCTCTATAGGGAGGCTTATCGCATTGGTACTGTTTTCCACCTAACCAAACACAAGACAGATGAAATGGAAGATAAAATAGCAGAAGTGAGAAGAAAGTTCAAGGTTGTGTATCTTTGTGTTCCTCTTACTCATGATGAAAAAAGAGTAATTTACCTGAATTGTATTGATTTAATCTTGATAATTAGATTTTAATTTAAGGGTTAATAGTCTTTTCAAAAACTCACTTCTTATAAATGAGAAGAAAACCACCTCTCTCCAAAGGCTCAGCTCGAATAGAAGAGGATGAGGGCTCAATGTAGTTAGTCCACAATTGTTTCCACTTTCTGCTATTATCAACCGTAAACTACTTGGAGCACCAGGAGTGTGGTGCTCAGTTCAGCTTTATTGTATATATCTAACACATAATAATGTCTGCCTATAGTAGGAAGAAGGTATTCTGAGAAGTGTTTGTCTACCTTATGTAATGTGAGAATAGAAAGTACCTCTAGTAGGCCTATGAGTTGTTGAATTCTAGAGTACCTGGAAATCTGTAGACTACATTTCTGCAGGAATAATTGCTCACATGCTTCAAACCCACTCCTAAGTGAGAGATGTATTGGATAGCAGCTCTCTGCCATTTGTGGTAGAGGCTTTGTATTAGTCCGTTCTCACGCCGCTGTGAAGAAATACCTGAGACTTAGTAATTTATAAGGAAAAGAGGTTTAATTGACTCAGTTCTGCATGGCTGGGGAGGCCTCAGGAAACTTACAATTATGGCAGAAGGCACCTCTTCACAGGGTGGCAGGAATGAGAATGAGAGCCAAGCAAATGGGGAATCCCCTTTATAAAACCATCAAATCATGTGAGAACTTACTCACTATCATGAGAATAGCACAGGGGAACTGCCCCATGATTCAATTATCTACACCTGGTCCCACCCTTGACATGTGGGGATTATTACAATTCAAGATGTGATTTGGGTATGGATACAAAGCCAAACCATATCAGACTTGCAAAGTCCACCCCACTTTACTGCACCTGCAGGGCCACTTCAACAGGCTGATTTCATCCATCTCAGACACATACATGTCTCCTGTCTTTGCCATTTTCTTATTAAAGACTTATAAGCAAAAAAAAAAAAACCTGGAAAATATACAGTCTGTACACCATTTCCAGCATCTGTTGCTAGCATTATGATCAATGAATACTTTCCTTTGTGATATCTAAATTTAAGATGTGTAAATGTTTCTGTACTGAAAGATTGGGGTGTTTTTCCCACATTGAATCCAGCTGTTCAGTTGACCTACGTCTTTCCTAATGGGTGTTGAATGGGTTAATCTTATCTTCTATGATATGAGTTAACATGCATAGAAAAACATGCATAGAAAAACATAGCAAAGTAAACATGCATAGAAAAAATTAAAATGCAAGGCATATGATTCTATGGTTTAGCATATACAATAGTATTGTAGATGTTTATAATTTTTAAAATAATATCAATATATTTCTATATAGTGGTCAGTTAATTTTTTTCTTTGAGGATATCAATAAAGATACCACCATCCACTTACTTGGTCATTTAACCATTTATTTTAATTTTTCTAATTGACTCAAAACCTTTGTCATCTTTCACATATTTTCCCCATGGATGTCACAAACTACATTTAATTCTTCAAACATATTGCTTCATTTATCTGAGATACTCACTTATGAAAGAGATGTTGCACTGGATTATTTATTTTTCTAATTTTTTTGATACCATCAAATGGAACTTATAGATTCAATGCAAGTTTGATGTAACTCTACTGTAATTGCTTTGCCAACCCAAAATACAGTGCCCCCTTTTCTGTTATTTTTAATTTTATTTTTTAAATTGACATATAATAATCGTAGATATTTATTGGGTACATAGTGATATTGCCATACACGTAGAATATAGTGATCAGATTAGGGTAATTAACATATCCATCATCTCAAACATTGATCATTTCTTTGAGTTGGAAATATTCAATATCATCTTTCTAGCTATTTGAAAATGTATATTATTCTTAACCATAGTGATCCTACAGTGGTATGGAACACAAGAACTTATTCCTTCTATCTAGCCATCATTTAGTATCCTTTAAAAAATCTCTGTCTCCTACTTCTTCCAACCCACCCCACTTTTCAGTATTTTCCATTCTACTTTTTACTTTTGTGAGGTCAATTGTGGTTAGTCTTCACATATGAATGAGATTATGTAGTATTTAACTTTCTATTCCTGAGTTACTTCACTTAACATAATGTCCTCCAGTTCCATCCGTGTTTCTGAAAATGACAGGATTTCATTATTTCTTATGGCTGAATAATATTCCATTGTGTATATATACCGCTTTTTGTTATCCATTTATCTGTTGTTGAACACCTAATTTGATTCCATATCTTGGCTATTGTGAATAGTGCCACAATAAAACAGGGGGATACAGATGTCTCTTCAATATATGAATTTCCGTTGGATAAACAATAGTGGGATTGCAGGATGATACAGTACTCCTATTTGTAGTTTTTGAGGAACCTCTGTCCTGCTGTCCATAGTGTCTGTACTGATTTTAATTCCTACCAACAGTATATGAATTCTCTTTTTTCCATATCTCACCAGCGTTTGTTATTTTTTCATATTTTTATACTACCCATCCTAGCTGGAGTTTCATGATACAGTTGTGGTTTTGATTTGCATTTCTCTGGTAATTAGTAATGTTGAACTTTTTTTCTTGCATTTGTTAGTAATTTGTATGTTTTGGTTTTTTTTTGAAAAATATCTGTTCAGATCATTTGCCCATTTTAAATCAGATTTTTTTTTTTTTTTTTTTTTTTTTTTTTTTTTTTTGCTGTTGAGATGTTTGAGTTCCTTGTGTATCTGGATATTAATACCCTGTTGAATGAATAGATTGCAAATCTTTTCTCTGGTTCTTTAGGTGGTATTTTCACTCTGTCAACTATTCCCTTTGCTGTGCAGAAAGGTTTTAGTTAAATATAATGTAATTTGTTTATTTTTGTTTTTGTTGCCTGTGCTTTTGAGGTCTTAGGAATAATATCTTTTCTTGGGCCAATGTTCTGAAGCATTTATCCTATGTTTTCTCCTAGTAGTTTTGTAGTTTGCGGTCTTACAGCTAGGTCTTCAACCAATTTGGAACTGATTTTCGTATAGAGGGTCTAGTTTCATTCTTCTGCAGGTGAATATCCAGTTTTCCTAGCACCATTTATTGAAGAAACTGTCCTTTCCCAATGTAGGTTCTTGGTGCCTTTGTCAAAAATCAGTTGGCTGTCGTTATGTGAATTAATTTCTTGATTTTCTGTTCTGTTTAACTGGTCTATGTGACTGTTTTTTTGCCAGTACCTTGCTATCTTTGAACACAGCTTTGTAGTGAATTTTGAAGTCTGGTAGTATAATGCCTACAGCTTTGATCTTTTTGCTTAGGAATGCTTTGGTAATTTGAAGTCTTTTAGGGTTTCATATACATTTTAAGATTATTTTTTCTCTTTCTATTAAGAAATAGAATTTTTATAGGAATTGCATTGAATCTGTAGATTGATTTGAGTAGTATGGTTAATATACTATTTTAACAATATTTTAACAATATTAATTGTTTATCAATTTTTAACAATATTAATTTTAACAATATTAATTTTTCCAATCCATGAGCATTGGATGTTTTTCCATTATGTTTGTATCTACTTCATTTTCTTTTCTCAATGTTTCATAGATTTCCTTGTAAAGGTATTTCACCTCATTAGTTAAATTTATTCTTAGGTATTTTATTTTTATTTTTTTGTAGCTATTGTAATTAGGATTGCCATCTCATTTTTTTTCAGCTAGTTCATTGTTCATGTATAAAGATGCTACTGAATTTTCATGTTGACTTTGTATCTCACAACTTTAAGGAATTTATCAGTTCTACAAGTTTTTTGATAGAGTCTCTCTCTCTCTACACACACACACAGATAATCATATAATCTGCAAAGAGGGTCAATTTGATTTTCTTCTTTTCAATTTGGATGCCTTTGTTTATTTTTCTTGCCCAATTGCTCTGACTAGGACTTCTAGTGGTATGTTGAATGAGACTGGTAAGAGGGGGCATGCTTGTCTTGTTCTAGTTCCTAGAGGAAAGACTTTTAGCTTTTCCCCACTCAGTATGATGTTAGTTGTGGGTTTGTCATATATGGACCTTACTGTGTTGAGATATTTTCCTTCTGTACCTAATTTGTTATGAGGTTTTACCATGAAGAGATGGTGAATTTTATCAAATGCTTTTTCTGCATCTATTAAGATAACCATGTCCTTTCTTCTGCTGATGTATGTATCACGTTTATTGATTTACATGTGTTGAACCATACTTTCATTCCTGGATAAATTTCACTTGATTATGGTGTAATACCTTTTTGGTGTGTTGTTGGATTTCAGTTTGCTAGTATTCTCTTTAAGTTTTTGCCTCTATTTTCATACATATTGGCCTGTAGTTTTAATTTTTTGTTTTCTTCATCTGTATTTGATAGTGAGGTTATACTGGCCTCATAGAATGACCTAGGCAGAATTTTCTCTGCCTTAATTTTGTGGAATAGTTTCAGAAGAAATTGTATCAATTCTGCTTTAACGGTTAGTGGAATTCAGCAGTGAAGACATCTAGTCCTGAACTTTTCTCTGTTGGAATACTTTTTAGAACTGATTCAATCTTGTTACTTATTATTGTCCTGCTTACGTTTTCTATTTCTTCTTGGTTCAATATTGGTAGATTGTTTGTATCCGTTTTCTCTAGGTTTTCAAATTTATTAGCATATAACTGTTCATTGATGTTTGTAATGATCCTTTTTATTTCTGTTGTATCTATTTTGATGTTTCCATTGTGTTTCTGATTGTATTCATTTATGTCTTCTCTCTTTTTTTCTTAGTCTAGCTATTTCTCAATTTTATTTTCTCAAAACATCAACTTTTTATTCCGTTGATTTTTTTGTACTGTATTTTTAGTCTCAATTTCACTTATTTCTGCTTTCACCTTCATTATTTATTTCCTTCTAATTTTGGGTTTGTTTTGCTCTTGCTGTTTTAGTTTCTTGAGATCATTATGTTTTTATTTCAAATCTTTCTA